AATAAGCGAAATCTAAGATTCTTCTTTCAATGTAGCTGGAAACCAAAACAACCTGTTTGGCTTTTTTTAGGCTTATTGCAATTAGCTTCGCTATTTGTGGGTGAATGAACACAGAAAGAACAATCCAAGCTTCTTTGTCCTCTTTCTATTGAGATAGAACCAAAACACCTATGCTTGGTTTGGGCTGATAACAAACATGTCAGTCTGCGATTTTTGGGTGAATGTGCATTCTAATTCCAAAAATACCAATTTGAAATTAGCCCAATCAGAGCTTTATGATCCTCTTTTTATGTAGACGGAACCCCAAACACCTTATTGCTTTGGATGGTTGTGATTCTGGTGCACACCCAAAAGCACCATGCAAATTGAAATAAGCCCAATCAAAGCATTCGTCGTCTTTCTACGCATATGGAAGCGAAAAGACGGTGTTGTGTTATCTTGGTCTCAGTACACACATTTTGTGATTTCTATGTCAATGTGCATTAACACCAAAGAACATGAAATAAGTTAAATCCAAGATTCTTCGGTCTATGTAGCTGGAAACCAAAACAACCTGTTTGGCTTTGTTTAGGCTTATTGCAGTTCGCTTCGCTATTTGTGGGTGATGAACACCGAAAGAACAATCCAAGCTTATATTTGTCCTCTTTCTATTGAGATAGAACCAAAACACCTATGCTTGATAACACACTGCGATTTTTGGGTGAATGTGCATTCTAACCCCAAAAACACCAATTTGAAATTAGCCCAATCAGAGCTTTATGATCTTCTTTTTATGTAGATGGAACCCAAAACAGCTTTTTGCTTTGGTTGGTTGTGATTCTGGTGCACACCCAAAAACACCATGCAAATTCAAATAAGCCCAATCAAAGTTTATTCGTCGTCTTTATACGCATATGGAAGCGAAAAAACGGTGTTGTGTTATTTTGGTCTCATTACACACACATTGAGATTTCTGGGTCAATGTGCCTTAACACCAAAGAACACCAAATAAGCGAAATCTAAGCTTCTTCTTTCTATGTAGCTGGAAACCAAAACAACCTGTTTGGCTTTTTTTAGGCTTATTGCAGTTCGCTTCGCTATTTGTGGGTGAATGAACACCGAAAGAACAATCCAAGCTTCTTTGTCCTCATTCTATTGAGATAGAACCAAAACACCTATGCTTGGTTTGGGCTGATAACAAACATGTCACTCTGCGATTTTTGGGTGAATGTGCATTCTAACACCAATTTGAAATTAGCCCAATCAGAGCTTTATCATCTTTTTATGCAGATGGAACCAAAAAAACCTTTTTGCTTTGGTTGGTTGTGATTCTGGTGCACACCCAAAAACACCATGCGAAGTATAATAAGCCCAATCAAAGCTTATTCGTCGTCTTTCTACGCATATGGAAGCGAAAAGAGGGTCTTGTGTTATATTGGTCACATTACACACACTTTGTGATTTCTATGTCAATGTGCATTAACACCAAAGAACACGACTTGAAATAAGCGAAATCCAACATTCTTCGTTCTATGTAGCTGGAACCCAAAACAACCTGTTTGGCTTTTGTCAGGGGTTCAGAGAGAGAGGCACAGGGTAGGCAGGAGATGGAGAGCGAGGGGGAGGAATTCCAAGCCAGCGAGGAAGAGGATGACAATGACTCAAGGGATTCCATGAGTCTTTCCAGCGAATCAGAGGATTCCCAGAAGGGGGCGCCGGTGGTCAGGGCCAGGGAGCCCCAGGGGGAAGTGTCAGGAGCAGGGTGCCAGCGGAGGATCCCAAAGTGGCAGCTGGGCGTCAGGACCAGCCTCCCCACCAAAGTGCAGTGAAGGGGTGGAGTTTCCAGTGTGTCAGAGGAAGCAGCTCCAGCAGCAGAGAAAGGAGGGGGGTCAGAGCAAGCCGCCCTCCCGGAAGGGGAGGGGAGCAGTGAAGGGAGTAGTGTAACTGTCAAAAGGAAAGTTAGAGGTTTGGCGCGCGCGCCTAGTTCAAATGTAGAGGCGCGCGGAAATGCAGGGAGTCCGGAGGAGGGGCCAGGTCCCAAAGCCCGCAGGAGGGGGGAAGAGCAGTCTGGGGATTCAGCGTCAGAGGAATCCAGAAGGGGCGCAACCCCAGGGGGCAGAAGGACCCTGCGGAAAAGGAAGGAGAGAAAGAGGTGGAGCAGCGCAAGTCTCTTAAATTGGTGCAGAGGAGGAACTGACTCAGAAGGGGACTTCGGCGGTCTAGCGTAAGAGACGTAAGGCTGCGCGCCTAGGATGTCAAGCAACCATGAACTGCAATAAACACCTTTGTATACAAGAAGACGTAGGCGTTGGTCTTTTGTGAGCTAAGACTTGAGGCAGCCTTGACAGCTTTGTTTAGGCTTATTACAGTTTGCTTTGCTATTTGTGGGTGAATAAACACCGAAAGAACAATCCAAGCTTATTCGTCCTCTTTCTATTGAGATGGAATCAAAACACCTATGCTTGGTTTGGGCTGATAACAAACATGTCACTGCGATTTTTGGGTGAATGTGCATTCTAACCCCAAAAACACCAATTTGAAATTACCCAATCAGAGCTCTATGATCTTCTTTTTATGTAGATGGAACCCAAAACACCTTTTTGCTTTGGTTGGGGGTGATTCTAGTGCACACCCAAAAACACCATGCAAATAAGCCCATCAAATCTCATTCGTCGTTTTTCTACGCATATGGAAGCGAAAAGAGGGTGTTGTGTTATCTTGGTCACATTACACACACTTTGTGATTTCTATGTCAATGTGCATTAACACCAAAGAACACAACTTGAAATAAGCGAAATCCAAGATTCTTCGTTCTATGTAGCTGGAACCCAAAACAACCTGTTTGGCTTTGTTTAGTCTTATTATACTTCGCTTTGCTATTTGTGGGTGAATAAACACCGAAAGAACAATCCAAGCTTATTTGTCCTCTTTCTATTTAGATGGAAAGGTCCCGTATGACACCTACCACTCGTCTGTCGTTTATTTCATCCCAACATCTGGTGACCCCGACGTGCCAGATCCCTTTACGCCGCCTCTATACTTCACTCGACTGGAAAAGTCTCAGTGCGCTACTTCGTGAGTATGGGGGGGGGACTAACAAGGTTCCAAAAAGAGCATGCCAAGGAGCTGCTCCATCTAGTCAGACAGAGGGTGGTGGGTGCTCATATTTCTTTAAAAGAAATTGAACGATTGTTATGTCAGATTGCTTGCCAATGCCCCTGGTACCCGGAGGCAGGCTCTCTGGGGATAGAGGCTTGGCAAAAGATCGGAAAAACCCTCTTCGCAGAACTATGGGCTCCGATTCATTGTCTGCTCACTTGGCAGAAATGTGCAGATGCCGTTGCTAAATCAGGACCTCAGGCGTCTCCGTCGGCTCCTGCCCTTCTTGCCGCTGCAGACAACCCCCCCACCTTACCCACAGCTTCTGCCCCCATCACAACCTTCCCTAACCCCCCCTACGCCTCAGCCCACATCCACCCCCTATCCCTCCTTCCCTCCCTCCTTCGCCTGCCTCAGCCCCTTTGTGCTCTCCTACAGGAGCTGTGCGCGCCGCGCTTTCTCACGCTAGGCACCCTGTCCTTAGAGGAAGACACTGAATGGGCTGGTGAAATGCCATCTGCTTTCCCTATCACCTATGCAAACCCAGGAATTGCTCAACAGCAGGTGATGTACGAGGCACTTCCTTATTCTATTCTGAGAGAACTAAGGAAAGCCATTACTGATTCTGGCCTAAAATCTTATTATGTGATAGGGATGCTGGAGGGGATAGCAAATGGTTACACAATGCTACCCCAAGATTGGAAAGATTTAATGCGCATGCTTTTATCCCCGGCTCAGTTTGTGGTTTTTGAAAGTGAATTTAAGCATGGCGCAACAGCCCTGGCTGATCCACAGCATTCAGCCAATCAACTTTTTGGCGCTGGTCCGTATGATACTATACCAGCCCAGGCGACATTGACACCTTTGCATTTCAGTCGCACCGCGACCTGTGTGCAACGCGCCTTTCGGAAAGTCCCTGTCTCAGGGCAGCCGCTGAGCTCCTTCGTTAATGTTAAGCAGCAACATTCGGGGCCTTACTATCAATTTATAGATAGATTGAAAGAATCAATCACTAGGCAGATTGATAACACTACAGCTCAAAATGAATTGATTAAAAAATTGGCTTTTGAGAATGCAAACACCGATTGCAAGAAGGCTTTGCAGTCAATCATACATCGCCCTAAATATGACCTGGCTGATATGATTCAAACCTGTGCTGATGTTGGCAGCCAGAGCCATGCGATGTCTTTGCTTGCCAGTGCAATCCAGGCTAGCAATAAGCCTACGGGCAATTGCTTCAATTGCAAACGCCCAGGTCATTTTGCTAAACAATGCAGAGCCCCTGGCAGGGGAGCAAACAGGAATGGTGATGCCAATAAGGCTAAGCCTTCCAAAAAATGCCCAAAATGCGGAAAGGGCTATCATTGGGCAAATCAGTGCAGGAGTTCGGGAAACTCCATGGGGCCCCAGCTCGGGCCAGGACAAATAGAGAGCCCTCCGCCGTTAGCTTCCACTTTTGAAAACTTTCCTAAGGATACACCCTCTGATTTTACCATTGATTTAATTAATCAGGAAACCAAAGACGCTGTTTTACCTGGTGAAATTGTGCTCATGCCCACTCAGTTGGCGGGCCCACTGCCACCTAAGGTCGCAGGCTTAATTTTACCCAAATTCTCTGCAGCCAAAGAAGGAATCCTGGTTATTCCGGGAGTCCTAGATCCTGACTATATGGGCACAATCATGGTTCAACTCTGGAGCCATATGCCCATGCAGTTAAAAAAGGGTGATTCTTGGGCGCACTTGGTAGTGCTCCCTTCTCATCCTACTGCTTTTATTGTGGATAGTAATTTGCACCAGCTCTCTCTCCCTCCCCTTTCTCCACAGCTGCTAGCTGTAATTCAGAGGATTGGGGGACAGAAACTTCTTCGTAAGTATAAAATCAATGGCAAGGTTCTGGAAGGCTTGATTGACACGGGCGCAGACATTTCTGTCATATCCAGCAATTGCTGGGACCCCACGTGGCCCCTTGAGTCTGCCTCTGCAGTTTGGGGTGTGGGTGGACCTCAAACCTCTTCCAAAAGCGTTCAATGGTTGCCTGTTTCTCTGCCTGATAGCTCTGAAACCATTGCATATGTCAAAGCTGCCTCAAGTCTCAGCTCACAAAAGACCAACGCCTATGTCTTCTTATATACAAAGGTGTTTATTCCAGTTCATTGTTTGCTTGACATCCTAGGCGCGCAGCCTTACGTCTCTTACGCTTGCTTAGACCGCTGAAGTCCCCTCTGAATCCATCCCTCCCCTGCACCAATTTAAGAGGCTTGCGCTGCTCCACCGCGTGCTCTCCTTCCTTTTCCGCAGGGTCCTTCTGCCCCCTGGGGTTTCGACCCTCCAGGATTCCTCTGACGCTGAATCCCCAGACTGTTCTTCCCCTCCTGCGGGCTTTGGGACCTGGCCCCTCCCCCCGGCTCCCTGTACCTCCGCGCGCCTCTACATTGCAAACAGGCGCGCGCGCCATACCTCTAACTTTCCTTTGACAGTTACACTACCCCTTCACTGCTCCTCCCCTTCCGGAAGGGCGGCTTGCTCTGACCTCCCTCCGTTCTCTGCTTCCGGAGCTGCGTCCTCTGTCACACTGGAAACTCCACCGCCTTCGCTGCACTCTGGTGGGGAGGCTGGTCCTGACGCCCAGCTGCCACTTTGGGATGCTCCGCTGGCCCCCCTGCTCCTGACACGTCCTCCCTGGGGCTCCTGGCCTTAACCACCGGCGCCCCTTCTGGGAATCCTCTGATTCGCTGGAAAGACTCATGGAATCTCTTGAGTCATTGTCATCCTCTTCCTCGCTGGCTTGGAATTCATCCCCATCGCTCTCCATCTCCTGCCTACCCTGTGCCTCTCTCCCTGAACCCCTGACAGCATACATCCAGCCCTGTGTGCTGAAAATCCACCTCAATCTGTGGGGCAGAGATTTACTACAACAATTACAAGCTACCATTCAATTTAATGAGTAAGCTTGCACTTCCCCTCAACTGGAAGTCAACCACCCCGGTATGGGTAGAACAATGGGTAGAACGGGGGAGAAACTACTTGCCTTAAAAAATTTGGTGAATGAACAATTATCGGCAGACCATATTGAGTCCTCTGTTAGCCCCTATAACACCCCCATCTGCGTCATAAAGAAGAAAAGTGGGAAATGGAGATTTCTCCAGGATTTAAGGAATATAAACCAAATCCTGGAACCCATGGGGCCTTTGAAGTGTGGTCTGCGTAATCCGAATGTGATCCCCCATTCTTATCAATTGGCTATCATAGATTTGCAAGATTGTTTCTTCTCCATCCCCTTACAGGAGAAGGATCGTAAATTCTTTGCTTTCACTGTTCCTGTGTTAAATAACAGCCAGCCCACGGAAAGGTATCAATGGAAAGTCCTACCGCAAGGAATGCTGAATTCCCCTACCATGTGCCAACAATACATCAGCCATGGCACACCCTGCTGCTTAAGCCGTTTGTCCATCATTTTACCCAAAAAGCATCATTTATCCCACTCTCGATATCGCCGCTCTGTGGAATTGACTAATGATTGTGATGATTCTGTTTCTCTTCCCAGTAGGTCTGAATATATTTCCTTAGCTGTTTCTCTCTTAGGAGTCCCTGGATTGGCTGTACGGAATAGTATGAACATTAATTCTTTAGCTTGTTCTGCAGCAAAAGCTCTGAATTTTACTTCACAAGCTCTTCACCTTTTGAATAAAGAACAGAGTGAACTACATAATGGACTTTTACAAAATCGTGCTGCTATCACTATTTGCTAATGCTTCATCATTATGGCTGTGAACAAGTGGATGACATGTGTTGTTTTAATGTTACTGATAATTCTAAAGCCATTCAAAAGCAAATCTCTCATTTGCAAAATCTTACACACCACATTAAACAGGACGTTGGTTTTTCTGGCCTCTGGGATTCATTCACCCAGTGGCTCACTGGTTGGTTGCCAAATCTGAATTGGCTTCGTAATTTTTTTCAATATGCTATTGTCAGGGGTTCAGGGAGAGAGGCACAGGGTAGGCAGGAGATGGAGAGCGATGGGGAGGAATTCCAAGCCAGCGAGGAAGAGGATGACAATGACTCAAGAGATTCCATGAGTCTTTCCAGCGAATCGGAGGATTCCCAGAGGGGGGCGCCGGTGGTCCAGGCCAGGGAGCCCCAGGGGGGAAGTGTCAGGAGCAGGGTGCCAGCGGAGGATCCCAAAGTGGCAGCTGGGCGTCAGGACCAGCCTCCCCACCAGAGTGCAGCGAAGGGGGTGGAGTTTCCAGTGTGTCAGAGGAAGCAGCTCCAGCAGCAGAGAAAGGAGGGGGTCAGAGCAGCCGCCCTCCCGGAAGGGGAGGGAGCAGAGAAGGGAGTAGTGTAACTGTCAAAAGGAAAGTTAGAGGTTTGGCGCGCGCGCCTAGTTCAAATGTAGAGGCGCGCGGAAGTGCAGGGAGCCCGGAGGAGGGGCCAGGTCCCAAAGCCCGCAGGAAGGGGGAAGAGCAGTCTGATTCCGCGTCAGAGGAATCCAGGAGGGGCGAAACCCCAGTGGGCAGAAGGACCCTGCGGAAAAGGAAGGAGAGAAAGAGGTGGAGCAGCGCAAGTCTCTTAAATTGGTGCAGGGGAGGGACTGACTCAGAGGGGACTTCAGCGGTCTAGCGTAAGAGACGTAAGGCTGCGCGCCTAGGATGTCAAGCAAACCATGAACTGCAATAAACACCTTTGTATATAAGAAGACATAGGCGTTGGTCTTTTGTGAGCTAAGACTTGAGGCAGCCTTGACAGCTATTGTCATAATATGTATATTAATTCTGCTATGCTGCTTCATCCAATGCATTCCTGGTCTCATACGTTTTTGCTCTCAGCTTTTCTACCCCCCTCAGCCACCTAATAAGTGGCAGCACCAACTGTAAATAATAGGGGAGATGTGGGCGAACTTATTTTGGGCATGCGCTGGCATACCACGTATCCCAAAGTATTTTTGTCCCATCCACCCTGGCGAACTTATTTCTGGCATGCACTGGCATACCACGTATCCCGAAGTATTTTTGTCCTATTCACCCTGAAATCATATAGTAACACCTTGCAAATAAGAAAAGAAAGGGGGAGATGATGGGTAGTTATCTTTCTGTATACATTCTTTTCGTACCATCCTGGTACGTTCAGTTCACCTTGAGTTCACACCATATCAATCTGTAATTATCCTTCTGTGTACATTCCTTTCTTACCTGGAATGTCCAGTACATTAGTAGCAACATATCAATCATGATAAGAACCTCAAAGCCAAAGTGAGAGCATTTGGGTCAAAATTAAGGTAGAGAAGAATAACAGTGACCTCATTGTGGGAGTTTACTATAGATCCCCAAGCCAAACAGAGGACATAGATGATGCCTTCCTGGAACAGATGGCCAAGCATGCAAAAGGAAGGGAGATAGTAGTAATGGGGGACTTCAATTACCCGGATATTTGTTGGATGTCAAACTCAGCCAAGAGCATAAGGTCAAACAGATTCCTCACTGACCTTGCAGACAACTTCATTGTCCAGAAAGTGGGAGAAGCAACAAGAGGAACAGCCATTTTAGATCTGGTCCTAACCAATGTTGATGACCTGGTTAGTGGGGTAGAAGTGGAAGGATCATTAGGCGCGAGTGATCATGCTCTTCTGAAGTTTACTATACAGCGGAAAGGAGCAGCCAAGCATACTAGGACTCAATTTCTTGACTTTAAGAAAGCCGACTTCATAAAACTTAGGGAACTGCTGGGTGAGATCCCATGGACAGTAATACTAAAAGGAAAGGGAGTTCATGATGGCTGGGAGTTTGTTAAGAGGGAGATAGTAAAGCACAACTTTAGGCAATACCAGTGAGACGGACACCTGGAAGGTGCCTAAAGAAGCCAGGGTGGCTATCTAAAGACCTTTTAACTGAGTTAAGATTAAAAAAGGATGTGTACAAAAATGGAAAAGGGGGAAACCACCAAAGAGGAATTCAAACAAATAGCCAGCACGTGTAGACACAAAGTCAGAAAAGCTAAAGCACAGAATGAACTCAGGCTTGCTAGAGAGGTTAAAAGCAACAAAAAGGCTTTTATGGGTATGTTCGTAGCAAAAGGAAGAACAAAGAAACAGTGGGGTCACTCAGAGGAGAAGATGGTGAAATGCAAACAGGGGACACAGAAAGGGCTGAACTCCTCAATGCCTTCTTTGCCTCAGTCTTCTCGATAAAGAAAACAATGCCCGACCTGAAGAATTTGAAGCAAATGATTCAGCAAAGGAAACACAGCCCAGAATAACTAAGGAGATAGTACAAGAATACTTGGCTAGTTTAGATGTATTCAAGTCTCCAGGGCCAGATGAACTGCATCCAAGGTGTCAGGGGTTCAGGGAGAGAGGCACAGGGTAGGCAGGAGATGGAGAGCGATGGGGAGGAATCCCAAGCCAGCGAGGAAGAGGATGACAATGACTCAAGAGATTCCATGAGTCTTTCCAGCGAATCAGAGGATTCCCAGAAGGGGCGCCGGTGGTCAAGGCCAGGGGAGCCCCAGGTGGGACGTGTCAGGAGCTGGGGGCCTGCGGAGGATCCCAATGTGGCAGCTGGGCGTCAGGACCAGCCTCCCCACCAGAGTGCAGCGAAGGGGGTGGAGTTTCCAGTGTGTCAGGGAAGCGGCTCCGGCAGCAGAGAAGGGAGGGAGGTCAGAGCAAGCCGCCCTCCCGGAAGGGAGGAGCAGTGAAGGGAGTAGTGTAACTGTCAAAAGGAAAGTTAGAGGTTTGGCGCGCGCGCCAAGTTCAAATGTAGAGGCGCGCGGAAGTACAGGGAGCCCGGAGGAGGGGCCAGGTCCCAAAGCCCGCAGGAGGGGGGAAGAGCAGTCTGATTCCGCGTCAGAGGAATCCAGGAGGGGCGGAACCCCAGCGGGCAGAAGGACCCTGCGGAAAAGGAAGGAGAGAAAGAGGTGGAGCAGCGCAAGTCTCTTAAATTGGTGCAGGGGAGGGACGGATTCAGAGGGGACTTCAGCGGTCTAAGCGTAGCAGACGTAAGGCTGCACGCCTAGGATGTCAAGCAAACAATGAACTGCAATAAACACTTTTGTATATAAGAAGACATAGGCGTTGGTCTTTAGTGAGCTGAGACTTGAGGCAGCCTTGACACAAGGGTATTAAAAGAACTGGCAGATGTGATCTCAGAACCACTGGCAGTCATCTTCGAGAATTCCTGGAGAACAGGCGAAGTCCCGGCAGACTGGAGGAGGGCAAATGTTGTCCCTATTTTCAAAAAGGGGAAAAGAGAGGACCCAAATAATTACCGCCCAGTCAGTCTGACATCAATACCAGGGAAGATTCTGGAGCAGATCATTAAGCAAACAGTCTGTGAGCACCTAGAAAGGAATGCTGTGATCACCAATAGTCAGCATGGATTTCTGAAAAATAAGTCATGTCAGACAGAATTACAAGCCTGGTAGATGAAGGGAACGCAGTGGATGTAGCCTACCTTGATTTCAGCAAGGCATTTGACAAGGTGCCCCATGATATTCTTGTAAAGAAGCTGGTAAAATGCGGTCTTGACCATGCTACCACTCAGTGGATTTGTAACTGGCTGACTGACCGAACCCAAAGGGTGCTCATCAATGGTTCCTCTTCATCCTGGAGAAGAGTGACTAGTGGAGTGCCACAGGGTTCTGTCTTGGGCCCGGTCTTATTCAACATCTTTATCAACGACTTGGATGATGGACTCAAGGGCATCCTGATCAAATTTGCAGATGACACCAAACTGGGAGGGGTGGCTAACACCCCAGAGGACAGGATCTGTCAGGGGTTCAGGGACAGAGGCACAGGGTAGGGAGGAGATGGAGAGCGATGGGGATGAATCCCAGGACAGCGAGGAAGAGGATGACAATGACTCAAGAGATTCCATGAGTCTTTCCAGCGAATCAGAGGATTCCCAGACGGGGGGCGCCAGTGGTCAAGGCCAGGGGAGCCCCAGGGGGGACGTGTCAGGAACAGGGGGCCAGCGGGGGATCCCAAAGTGGCAGCTGGGCGTCAGGACCAGCCTCCCCGCCAGAGTGCAGCGAAGGGGGTGGAGGTTCCAGTGTATCAGGGGAAGCAGCTCCGGCAGCAGAGAAGGGAGGGAGGTCGGAGCAAGCCACCCTCCCGGAAGGGGATGGGAGTAGTGAAGGGAGTAGTGTAACTGTCAAAAGGAAAGTTAGAGGTTGGGCGCGCGCGCCAAGTTCAAATGTAGAGGCGCGCGGAAGTACAGGGAGCCCGGAGGAAGAGCCAGGTCCTAAAGCCCGCAGGAGGGGGGAAGAGCAGTCGGGGGATTCCGCGTCAGGGGAATCCAGGAGGGGCGAAACCCCAGCGGGCAGGAAGACCCTGAGGAAAAGGAAAGAGAGAAAGAGGTGGAGCAGCGCAAGCCTCTTAAACTGGTGCAGGGGAGGGACTGACTCAGAGGGGACTTCAACGGTCTAAGCGTACAGACGTGGGGCTGCGCGCCTCGGATATGAAGCAAACAATGAACTGCAATAAACACTTTTGTATATAAGAAGAGATTGGCGTTGGTCTTTTGTGAGCTGAGACCTGAGGCAGCCTTGACAGTAAGTCCCCTCTCAACAGAAACCGCAAAATTTTTTTTTGCAAAGCTCACGAAGTTTGGCAGACATGACTACTGAGGAGCAGATAACGTCCCTGCAAAACGCAGTCGCCGAACTCTCCGCTGCAGTAGTGGTCTCTCAGAAGACAGTTGCCGAAGCAGAAGCGCGATGCCAGGATCTGCAAGCCAGGTGGGATCATGCGTGCAAAGAGGGGTTCCCGGGGTCCAGATCAGAGGGAATCGGACTCGGACGGAGGGGGGGCAATTTAGTAGCCCACTTCGATGGGAACCTGAAGCATTATCCCAGTTTCAGAGCAGACGTCGTATACGCGCTGCATTTGCTTCGGAAAGACTTCAAAGATGAGGAGGAGAAAGTAGGCTTTATTGTGTCCCATTTGCATGGGGAAGCTAGAGCCTGGTTACGCAATTTGTGGCGCGAAGATGGTCCTGCCCGCAGGGACTCTGACGAATTTATCAAAGCCATGGACGCTTGCTTCCAATCTACCGTTGACGTTGATGTGGCGCGCCGGGAGATGCATGGATTGCGGCAGGGCAAGGCTACAGTGCGTCAGTACCATTCTCGCTTTTTTGCATTGCTGAATGTGCTGGGCTGGGAAAAGGACTCACTGGCAGTGAGAGACTTGTTCTGGAAGGGGCTTCATGGCTCCGTAAAAGATGAGTTGGCCAGGGGGGACAGACCTCAAACCCTAGCAGACGTCGTGCAGAGGGCACTCACGATAGGGGTGCGCCACGAAGAACGCCCTTGGCACAGTGAGGAGGGGCGCCACGTCCGCACACCAGCTAGAGCGCCTCCTTTTCTTCCCAGGGACCTGGGACGTACGCATCCCTCGCCTCTGCTGAGGGAGGGGGAGGAACCAATGGAGCTTGGTGGTGCAAAGGCTCAGACAGCTGCCGGAGCCTCAGCGTCCGGAGCAGTCAAGGCGAAGCCTCCTAGAGGGACCAGGAAGTGTTACATCTGTGACAGTGCACAGCACATGGCTAAAGAGTGTCCCCAGAGGCTCCAGAAGCACACTGCAGCTTTAGCGACAGTAACAGGGGAAGCGCTCCAAGAAGAGCAGTTTCAGGGAAACGACAATGCCTGGCTGGAAGCAAACATGCTGGGGCTCAGCCAGGCAAGTCACTGAAGCAGTCCCCAGCGCTTTTGCAGCCTACAAACCCCTTGCCACCCAAGCCAGTGGTGCAGCTCACTGCTACTCTCCAGCTACCTAATGGACTCACACTGGAAGTCCCCATTACAATTGACTCAGGGAGCAACGCAGACTTCGTGGGGATGCAGTTCATCAAGCAGCATCGCATAGCGCTTCTACCAGCCACGCTGCCTCTGAACGTCGTCACGGTAGATGGCAGGAAGTTGCTGGGCGGGCAAGTGGTACAACAGACGCCACCCATGCTGCTGAAGATTGGGAATCATCGCGAGGTCATCAGTTTCAACGTCACCCGACTGTCAGACACGCCTATAGTGTTAGGCATGAGTTGGCTGGATAGACACAGCCCATCATTAGCGTGGTACCAGCGGCAGCTCACCTTTGGCTCGTCCTACTGCGCACAACATTGCATCCAGACAGGCCAGGAGGAGGAGGGCCAGGAGGAAGGGCAACAGTTGCATCTAGGCATGGTGCAGGCAGTGCCCCACAAGTACAAGGGGTTTTTTGGAGGTCTTCTGCGAAAAGGAAGCTGACCAATTACCACCCCACCGGTCCTACGACTGTGCAATTGACCTCTTACCATGGGCGACGCTGCCGACTGCGAAGCTGTATTCCATGTCTGAAGATGAGATGCAGGAACTCAGGGAGTTCATAGATCACAATTTGAAGCGGGGATTCATCCGAGAATCCAAGGCAGTGGGGGGCAGTCCTGTGTTTTTCGTGAAGAAGAAGGACACGCCCCAAAAACGGCTCATTGTGGACTATAGGGCCATAAACTCGATGACAAAGCCCAAGGCCTTCCCCATGCCCAAGATTGACGACCTGCTCGCGACGGTGCGGAAGGGGAGGATCTTCACCAAGTTGGATCTACGCGGAGCATACAATCTAATACGCATGAGGGAAGGTGACGAGTGGAAAACGGCCATGTTCACACCGCTGGGCACCTACGAATACAGAGTTATGCCGTTTGGTCTCCAAAATGGCTCCCACTGTTTCCAAGCCTTCATGCACCACGTGCTAGCAGGACTCCTCTACAAGAAGTGCGTATGCTTCCTCGACGACATTCTGATCTTCTCAGAATCGCAGGAGACTCACGAGAGAGACGTAAAGGAGGTCCTGCAGAGGCTACGGGAGCACAGACTCTACGCCAAACTGGAGAAGTGCCAGTTCGACGTGACGGAGGTGGATTTCCTGGGCTACCGGCTGTCCGACAAGGGACTAGCCATGGACAGCGCCAAGGTCCGTGCGGTGTTGGACTGGAATAGCCCGCGCAATCGGAAGGAAGTCCAGAGGTTCGTCGGCTTCGCCAACTTTTACCGCAAGTTCATCAGGGGTTTCGCGAAAGAGACGGCAGCTATCACGGACACCCTCAGTTCCAAGAAGAAAAAGTTCACATGGACGGATCAGGCGGAGCAGTCCTTCAGGAGACTTAAGAGCCTCTTCGCGTCCGAAGAACAGCTGCTACACGTGAATCCAGGCAGACCCATGCGGGTTGAGACTGACGCATCTGACAGAGCAGTGGGGGCCGTCCTCTTGCAGGAAGATCCGCAAGGGAACTGGAGGCCCTGCGCTTTCTATTCCCGGAAGCTCAGCAAGTCGGAACAGAACTACACCATCTGGGACAGGGAGTTGTTGGCCATCCACGCGGCTTTCAAGGCGTGGCGGCACTTCCTCATCGGAGCCAAGCACACCGTGCAGGTCCGCACGGACCACAAGAACCTAGAGTATTGGCGCACGGCGAAGCTCCAGAGCCAGAGGCACATACGATGGGCAGAGTTCTTTGCGGATTTCGACTTCAGGATAGAGTATATCCCGGGAGACAACAACGTCATAGCGGATGCGCTCTCTAGAAAACCGCAGTATCTCGAGGAAGCGGCACCAGTGGCAGCCAAGCACATTTTCGCACCGCAGGCGTGGGCGTGCGCTTCCGCCGCCGTGGACCTGGTCGCGGTACGACGCGCGCTGCAGACGGATCCGTTCGCACAATCCAAGATGGAGGAGGTGCGAAGAGGGACAGCAAAGGACGGCGAATTCCAGATACGCGACGGCCTGCTGACCCGCAAAGGTGCTCTCTACGTGCCGGGAGACGATCTCCGCGCGAAGGTTCTACAGCAGTTACACGACGCACCCAGCGCGGGTCACTTCGGCAAGGAAAAGACGGCGGACTTAGTAGCCAGGGACTTTTGGTGGCCCCAGATGCGAGGAGAGGTCGCGGATTACGTCGCCAGGTGTGACACTTGTCAGAGGTCCAAGCCAGTGCACAAGAAGCCAGCGGGATTGCTGGAACCGCTGGAGACGCCACTACAGCCGTGGGAAAGGGTGGCGCTGGACTTTGTTACTGATCTGCCCAGTTCGCGAGGCAAGACGGCGGTGCTTGTGGTTGTAGACCTGTTCACCAAGATGGCGCACTTCATTCCTTGCGCGAAGGTGGCAACAGCGGAACAGACCGCCAAGCTGTTCATAGATCACGTGTTCCGGGTGCACGGCTTACCACGGTCCATCCTGTCCGACCGGGGTCGCCAATTCATTTCCAGTTTCTGGCAGAAGCTCCTGGGCATCCTGAATGTCAAGATCAACTTAGCGTCGGCGAGACACCCGCAAACCAACGGCCAAGCGGAGAGGGTCAACGCCATCATGCAGCAGTACCTGCGATGTTACGCCAATCAAAAGCCTGCAACTTGGGTGGACTACTTACCGATGGCCGAGTTTGCCTACAACAACACGAAGCACGCGTCAACGGGGGTGACACCGTTCTTCGCCAACAAGGGGCGACATCCCAGAACCTTCCCGGCGTTGGAGACAACGCCGGGAAGGTTCTGGGATGTCGCAGGGAGCTGAGCATTTAGCAGCAGAATTGCAGGAGGTCCACGAGGAGCTACGACGGCACTTGGAACTAGCTAAACACGCCTACAAAGTGCAGGCAGACAGGCACAGGAGGGCAGGAGAAGACATCCAGGTGGGGGACTGGGTATGGTTAGCAGCCCAGGCGGTGCCGGCCAAGTCGTTAGCTAAGAAGAAGCTAGGACACAAACAGCTAGGGCCATACCAAGTTGAGGGCAGGATCAATCCCGTAGCTTTTCGGTTGACCCTCCCAGAAGGTTCCAGAATGCACCCGGTCTTTCATAGGTCGGTGCTTACACCCTACAAGGCCCCACACAGATTTCAGGAGCCAGGGACGGCACCAGACCCACGTAGAAAGTCACCGGGGGGGGGAAGTCACCGAGGGCCCCGACACTCAACGAGGCCACGGAAATTCTGGACTCAAGATGGGGGGAGGAGGGAGTAGAATACCTCCTCGCCAGGGAAGGTACCCCGGCCAGCGCCAACAGTTGGGTGCCAGATTATGCTCTGGAGGAACCTCTTCTTAAAGACGAGTTCCATGCACTCTTCCCACACAGGCCCATGCCAGCGGAGTATTTTGACGACTGGCTTTTTACGCCCACGCTTTCAGACAGCACCTTCCGGGGGTTCTCCTCCGCAGAGGAGACCACGCCGGAATCGAGCCCTCCAAGGGGATCGTGCTCGGGGGTGGACACGGACCGCTCTTATTGGTGGGACGATCAACCAGAAGTGGGGTGGCGAAGGGGGCCTTGGCAAGCAGCATCGCCTGAAGTAACGGGGAGGGAAGGGCTTGGATGTGTTGGGGAGGACCCGGTTTGGAGCACTCATACACTGAACTGGAAGCAGAGGAGATCGACGTTGACGAACTGTATCCAGCATCTACCCCCGCTACAACGGAGCTCCCGGAACCTGCGCCCGAGCAGCGGAAGGGGGGAAGGGGGGGGCTTCGAGGGGGGGATGGATGTCAGGGGTTCAGGGACAGAGGCACAGGGTAGGGAGGAGATGGAGAGCGATGGGGATGAATCCCAGGACAGCGAGGAAGAGGATGACAATGACTCAAGAGATTCCATGAGTCTTTCCAGCGAATCAGAGGATTCCCAGAAGGGGGCGCCAGTGGTCAAGGCCAGGGAGCCCCAGGGGGACGTGTCAGGAACAGGGGGCCAGTGGGGGATCCCGAAGTGGCAGCTGGGCGTCAGGACCAGCCTCCCCGCCAGAGTGCAGCGAAGGGGGTGGAGGTTCCAGTGTATCAGGGAAAGCAGCTCCGGCAGCAGAGAAGGGAGGGAGGTCGGAGCAAGCCACCCTCCCGGAAGGGGAGGGGAGTAGTGAAGGGAGTAGTGTAACTGTCAAAAGGAAAGTTAGAGGTTGGGTGCGCGCGCCAGTTCAAATGTAGAGGCGCGCGGAAGTACAGGGAGCCCGGAGGAAGAGCCAGGTCCTAAAGCCCGCAGGAGGGGGGAAGAGCAGTCGGGGGATTCCGCGTCAGGGGAATCCAGGAGGGGCGAAACCCCAGCGGGCAGGAAGACCCTGAGGAAAAGGAAAGAGAGAAAGAGGTGGAGCAGCGCAAGGCTCTTAAACTGGTGCAGGGGAGGGACTGACTCAGAGGGGACTTCAACGGTCTAAGCGTACAGACGTGGGGCTGCGCGCCTCGGATATGAAGCAAACAATGAACTGCAATAAACACTTTTGTATATAAGAAGAGATTGGCGTTGGTCTTTTGTGAGCTGAGACCTGAGGCAGCCTTGACAGGATCACACTTCAAAACGACCTTGACAGATTAGAGAACTGGGCAAAAACAAACAAGATGAATTTTAACAGGGAGAAATGTAAAGTATTGCACTTGGGCAAAAAAATGAGAGGCACAAATACAAGATGGGTGACACCTGGCTTGAGAGCAGTACATGTGTCAGGGGTTCAGGAGCAGAGGCAAGGGCAAGGGAGGAAACAGAGAGCGAGGGGGAGGAGGCAGAAGAAAAGATGAGTGATGACGACGACCCGAGATCTCCGAGTCTTTCCAGTGAATCAGAAGATTCACAGAAAGGAGCACCAGTGGCCAGGGCAAGGGGGAGCCTAGGGGACGCCGCAGGAAGATAGAGCCAGAGGGGACTCAGAGGGGAGCAGTTGGAAATCGGGACCAGCGTCACCGCCAGAGAGCAGGGAAGAGGAAGGGAGCCAGGGATCAAGCGCTGGCAGCTCACAACAGGGGGGGAGGGCACGAGTCAGGAGTGGCCACACCTCCATCGGGGAGCGAAGAAACGGTCAGACGGAAGGTGGAAGGTTGGGCGCGCGCGCCAAGTTCAAATGCACAGGAAGGTGGCACAGTAGGCAGCCCGGAAGGGAGCCAGGTCCTAAAGCCCGCCGAAAGGAGGGAGAAGAGTCAGGGGGGTCAGCGTCAGAGGAATCCCGGAAGAAGAGACCCCAGGGGGCAGAGGGACCCAGAGAAGAACAGTCAGGCGGAAAAGGTGGAGCAGGGCTAGGATATTAAGTTGGTGTACAAGGGCGGAGACTCAGACGGAGCTTCGCCGGTCTAACCATGAGACGTAGAGTTGCACGCAGCAGTTTGAGAATGGAAACTGTAACTCAATAAAGACTTTTGTTTAATGATCGCTGGCTAGCGTGATCCTCTGTGAGCTAGGATCTGGAAGCAGCTCTGACAGTAAGCTCCGTCTCTATAAAATTGTGGGCATCTACAGCCTCGCGGAGAGGAGAGAAAGCGGGTGCCTACTAGCGAGCTCACGAAAGGCAGACAATATGACGGCCGAACAGCAGATAGCGGAACTCAGAGAAGCAGTGTCACGACTGAATGCCGAGGCTCTTGCATCCAGGAAGAGAGAGGAGGACGCAGCTGCCGCCTACAGGGATCTCCAGGTCAGGTTGGAAGTGCTTACGAAGCAAGGGCAACTGACACCCAAACCGGAGGGATTGGGTTGGGGAGGCGAACAGGCGGTCTGGTCTCTCACTTCGATGGGAATTTGCAACAGTACCCCAACTTTAGAGCAGATGTAATGTGTGCACTGCAACTGCTGGACAAAGACTTTAGAGATGAGCAAGAGAAGGTGGGATTCATCATGTCCCATTTGCATGGAGATGCTAAAGCATGGCTGCGCAATTTGTGGAGAGATAAGGATCCGGCGCTCCAAAATGCGGATGCCTTTATTAAAGCGATGGATGGGTGCTTTTATCAAGCATTGACGTGGATCTTGCTCGGCAGCAGATACATGGACTGAAGCAAGGGAGGGCCAGCGTAAGGCAGTACCATGCCCGCTTTTTCGCTTTGGTCAGTGCTCTGGAATGGGACAGAGATTCGGCTCCTGTAAGAGACCTGTTTTGGGAGGGATTGCACGGCTCGGTTAAAGATGAAATTGCGATGGGGGAGAGAACCCGGACCACGCAGGAGATCGTTCAGAGGGCGCTGGCGGTGGGGGTGCGGCTGGAAGAACGTCCGTGGAGCAGGGACGAAGGGCGACGAGGGCGCGAACCAGCCAGGGGCTCCTCCTTCCTTCCCAGAGAAGCAGCGCGTGCGCAATCCACGCCTCCGCCAGGAGGAGGAGCGGAACCTATGGAGGTTGGAGGTGCAAGGGCTCAGTCAGCAGCCAGAGCCCTAGCACCGGCAGCAGTGAGCGAAGCCTCCTAGAGGGAACAGGAAGTGTTACATCTGCGATGCTCCACAGCATATGGCGAAAGAGTGTCCCCAGAGGCTCCACAAGCACACTGCAGCTTCAGCAATGGTAACTGCAGCAACGCAGCAAGGAGAACCACAGCAGGGAACCGACGGAGTCTGGTTGGAGGAAGAGGCACTGGGGCCCAGCCAGACGTGTCAGTGAAGCAGTCCCCAGAGATTTTACAGCCCATGGACCCCCTCCCGCCCAAACCAGTAGTGAGGCTCACCGCGTCGCTCCAGCTGCCCAATGGAATCACCATGGACGTGCCAATCACCATTGACTCCGGAAGCAATGCGGACTTTATAGGGCAGGACTTTGTCGGCCGGCACGCTATACAGTTGCTGCCTGCCACGCTGCCCCTGCAGGTTGTCACGGTGGATGGCAGGGAGCTGCTAGGGGGGCAAGTGGTGAAGCAGACGCCACCAATGGTGATGCGGCTTGGGAATCACAGGGAAATCATCAGCTTCAATGTCACTCAACTATCGGACACGCCCATTGTATTGGGCATGAGTTGGCTGGACAAGCACAGCCCGACGCTGGCTTGGTACCAGAGGCAGCTGACCTTCGGCTCTTCCTTTGCGCTGAACACTGCATCGTGCCCCGGCAGGAAGGAGAGGAAGAGGAGTCACAGCTGCAGCTAGGCACGCTGCAAGCGGTTCCCCACAAGTACGCAGAATTTTTGGAGGTTTTCTGCGAGAAGGAGGCAGACAGGCTACACCCCCACAGACCATATGACTGCAAAATTGACCTGCTGCCGGGGGCGGCGCTGCCCAAAGGGAAGCTGTATTCCATGTCTGAGGACGAACTGCAGGAACTCAAAGAGTTCATAGATCATAATTTGGAGCGCGGTTTCATCCGAGAGTCCAAGGCAGCGGGGGCAGTCCGGTATTCTTTGTTAAGAAGCGGGACACGCCCCAGAAAAGACTTGTAGTGGACTATCGCATTTTGAACAGCGTGACCAAGCCATCGGACTTCCCCATGCCCCGAATCGACGACCTCCTCGCAAAGGTACGGAAGGGCAGCGTGTTCACTAAGTTGGACCTGCGAGGCGTACAACCTCATTCGCATGCGGGAAGGAGATGAGTGGAAGACAGCCATGTTCACGCCCCTGGGCACCTACGAATATAGAGTTATGCCTTTTGGAT